TTGCCTTGGAGTGGGGGAATTCCTAGGGATCACTTATAACAGACTTTCTGCTGTGGAAATGAAGTATTATTACTGCTATGTCTTTCTTTTACCTCCTCCTCAGTCAACCCCTTTTCATTTGTCTCCTGGCTATTGACCCAAGGTGCTTCTACAGTCCTTAATTTCATACAGAAAGCTGGTAGATTGATGGAATGAGCCTTCAAGTATTTTCAAAAGTTAAAATGGCCATGCCTTGGGTAAGAAGGAGCTGGAACAAACCAATAAATTGTATTCCAGAGATAGCTTTGTGCTACAGAATGAAGATCAGAAATACAGGATGCAGCTCGTGTAAATTCTCTGAATAGCTTAAACATGAATGGGAGGTCCTGTTTGATTTTTTTGTCTGCTGTGATACCCAGCACAGCTTACTGAGGAACAGGGTTGAAGGTATTCATATATGAGACACAGGTAGGTAGAGATTAGCAGGGCTAGAGCAAAGGCAATGAACCAAGCCTTGACTTCACTAAACTAAAGACCTGGCCAGCATGGCTGTGGAAACTTGGTGGTAATAGGTCATTAGCAGGCTACCTCCCACCTTGAACCAGGGGAGCCAGAAAGGAACTGTGGAATCACAGTTACCTCCTTGGTCTTCTAAGGTGGAGAATGCAGGCTAAATCTAGACCTGCTCTGGGAAAATATGAATAAAACAGCAAAAGCTGCAGTGACTTGGGCCTTCTCACTGGGAAAATAGTTCCCCCCACACACAGCCTTTCATTTTCCCCAACAACAGAGTCAATTAATGCTCTGTATGGCTAAGCATTTGCTTTAACCACACTGCTTGTAATTAGCAGTATCTATTAATACTAGGCATCTGAGACCTGCAGGGTTTGAGTAAAAAGTGCCAGGGCTCAAGTGTTTATGAGCAGTTCATATACAGCAGGAAATTTCTTGTTTTTCTTGAACAGTTGCCCTGTCTCTACTTGCCAAAGACTGCACGGTGAATAGTCATTACCCAATTTAATAGAGATGTGGGCTAAAATTTCTGCTACCTGGTTTTACACATAGGCTGTGGTTAGAGGGGAAAACAGAGAAAAGTCTCATTACTTACATGTTGGTATGCAATTTAAGTGAAAGCAAGAAGTTTAAATAAGTCGCTCTGTGTCTACCATCTTAAAGTAGGCTTTTAAATTATTTGTGCTGCTTTGGATTAGTGATAGATGGGAACAAATCCTACAGATTCTACAATCATCAATTTTATGGCAACTCAAATACTACTCTTAAAATGAATTTTGCTTTTCTTGTTTGTCTTTAATATTGATTAACAGTATGGATTTTTTTCTGATACTTTCATTTTGCAACACAAACCACAAAAAACAGAGGAGCTTTGTCTCCCCATTTTCTTTGTGTTGTTTCTCTCAATAATTTGTTTCCATACTTTCTTATTCTCTTTATTTATGATAATTTTTAAGTATTGGGTGATATTATGATAATTTTTAAGTATTCATGATCAGATTGAGTTGATACTAATTCACCAGGAACAAAGTAATCTCATGACTGTCCTGCTTACCCCTACATTTTACATACAGGACCACAGACACATTATGAAGACATGCACTGACAATGTGCTAGCAATCTGGTATATCATAACATTTGAGTTTGCATGATTTCAAGTCTGCATATTGAGTGTGTTCACAGCTCTGCTGAACAGAATAGGAATTAGGTGAATTAACTGAACTCAATGCACAAGGCTCAGGGCAGTTTACTACATATGCCAATATCCCTTAGGAAAAAAAAAAAAAAAAAAAAAAAAAAAAAAAAGAGAAACTGAAAGGAAAGTTACCTGAAAAGCAAGACAGTCTCTATCCAACTTTTTACTAAACTCAGCTCTTTGTCAAGAGATCATCTACATGGTAGAGATAAAACCCATATGGGAAAATAATTTGTTGCAGTCTTTTTAGTCTCCTTTTACATACATATCTCACATACAGATATTTGGAGTTGGTCCATTTTGGTTTTAGGAAGGAAGAAAGACAGGAAGGAAGGGAAGAAGAAAAAATAATGCCAAATTTGCCATTCAACTCTGCCAAAATAGAAGGTTTCAAATGTCACAATCCATTGATGCAAATTCATATTTTTAGTTTGACACTTATAAGGAAAAACTCCAATTTTCCTTTTTCTCTGCAATGAGAAAATGTGCACAACACTTCTTTTTGCTACTAAAACAAAGAAAAAAACCACCACCAACAACAACAAATAGTATTACATGAGGGCATTTTCTAGATGGCTGGCTAAGACCACTGAGGCACAGATTGCTTGTATTCATTTGCAGCTTAGATTTCCTGTATGAAAGTCTTATTCCCTGCCCAAACAGGCATTAATTAAATCCTGATCAGATTAAAGATTTAATGACCTTGAGGGCAACCTGTAACTGGTGCAGCTTCTCCCACATCACATGAGAAAGATTTGATCTGTATATCACTGAGGTATGAAGGAGAAAAAAGGCACAGGATGCATCAAATCTGTGTGTTAGGTAGGCCTCAGGGGACTCTTGGGATCAGTGTCTCACAGAATTAGCTGGGAAAGGACCAAATGAGGAGTAACTATAGTTTACTTTTCCTGGGAGCTGTAAAAAACATACCTTCAACTTGTATTTCCCACCTACAAACTTCCTGAAAAGCATATACCAGTAGGTGAAAGAAAAGTCTTGGTAGCAAGAAAAAAAAAAACGATTGGAAAAAAGCTAAAATAAAAAGACATGACTTTTGTAATAATGAATATATTTTTAATGGATGCTGCAACAACTGTAAAAGAAAGTGGTGGATTTGTCATCTTTGCTGTAGCCAGATGGGGAACCAAATCTTCTCTGTAAAATAGGCCTTTGTCAGGCTAATCTCTGTGGAAATGGAAGTAGGCAAGAACCTATAATTTATGCAAAGATGCTAATATGTCCTTCCAATGTAAACTGTATAAAGGTGAAAGAATGGCAAGAAAACAAAGACCCAGTCTAGCTACAGACTACAGATAGATGTTATTTACCCATGAGCTTGAGAAGTGAAATTACTTTTCCTTTTGGGATTTTCTCCTCCATGAGCTTAAACTAATTCCAAAGGAAGAAAAAGATTGTTCCATAGGTAAAGAAAAATACTTAGAAGTTTCCTAAAATAACAGAATTAAAAAAAAATAAAAAATAAAAAAATAAAGCAGAAATATTGCAAGTGCTACACTGTATACTAAAAACAAAGATCTAAGTTTAGGAATGATGATACAATGGCACAAGTGGAATCTGTGTAACAGATTTTCGCTCCAGATATGACAACAAACCATTTCCATTTTACTTTTTTTTTTTTGTCTTACAGGAATGCGGCAGATTTACTCCTCTTTATTCCAAAGCCTCTATTACAACTGAAGGTCATGTAAATTTCTAGCAAAGACAATGCAGATAAAACTGTATCATCCTCCCTGAAGGTGGATTTTGGATCCCTGATATACATTAGCAGGTGTTCTGAGAATCCTAAATTGTCAGAGCTGTAATTCAATAAAGAAGTCTTATTTTCAATAAAGAACTAGAAGTCTCAAGCATAAGAACAATACTACAAACTTAACAAAACAAAACAAAACAAAAAAGAAAACCCAAACCTAAATCCTTAGCTTTTAAATTTTAGTGTTTTTTTTTTTAATTTGTTTTTTGTTTGTTTGTTTGTTTTCTGTAAAGTTTCTTGATACAGAAATTCAATCCCTTGGGATACAAATCTAGTTGCGTGACTATGGATTAAGACCTGGAATGTGCAAACAAAGTATTTTTTTATACCTTTGAACACTTGAAAAGCCAGCTTCCCCCAAATGGCAACCTCAAGGCAGTAGAACACTTTATATACATTTATATACATTATATACCTTTATATACCTTTATATACCTTATCATGTGAATTTAGAAAATAATTTGGAGAAGAATTTTACTTGAACAAGTGATGGGGATATCAGAAAAGTTTCATTATTTGCACCTATTTTTAAGTAAAGCACTTTGGATTCTGAAACACCAATAGACTATTTTTAATTTATTTTTTTTTCCATTGCAAAATGAAATGAAATGTTTTCTCATTCCTTTGCTGCCCTTCCCAAATATACGAGTCACATAAAAAAGAAGGATGAAAACTGTACTAGTTCAGACTAGCAATTTAGTGTGGTGTACTAAAACAGGACATTGTATGGTGGGCTTCCATATGTTTTGTTGAGATTATGCAGACATTAATAATTTATTGTCCCAGCATTTTAAAGTCCCAATTTTGAAAATGTGTTTCTTTAATTAGGGAAAAGCTGTTGAAAATTATTTTGGAATGTTTTAATACACTCTTTTTTATTAATTCTCTCTCCTGAATGATGGAGTAATGAAATGTAGTATCAGTCAGTACTAAAACTCTAAAATAACTGCTCTTGAATAAGTGGGTCAAATAAAGCAAGTTGTGGTGTGCTGTGGTGTGAGACTGCTACTGGCATGAATTCAGGCAGAACTACATTACATCAAGCAGTGAAATGCAGCTTTTGTGAGTTGCATGGTTTAGTCTAACTGAGCAAAAAGCACAGCTCTTTTTACCCTAGGTTTTATAAAATGAGAGAATATGACCATCAGGGTGTTCAGAAATAGCCCCTTACAAAGATTACATTCTACTCCTTTTCTTTGCTTGAATTCTTCCAGACTTCGTGAAATAGAAACCAAATGATTGAGCAAATTACTTCAACCTCCAGTTAAATTTCACATACTCATATTCTGGTTGCACCATTTCCCCCACACAGCCTGAAAGCATCCTCTTGAAATATATTTGTCATCATAACAAATTCCTTATAAAAACACCTTTCACATTAAGTGCCCTTTAACATAAATAATGAAGTGTTGGACAAAAAGGATTGCTCTAGGTACAAATGAGGGCAAAAAGTTGTTACTGTTAAGCTTTAAAAGGTCCTCTAAGTACTTTATGGTTCTAGCATAGTTTGGTTTGAACATTTGTCTATGCATTCTCTTACAGGTCCATATGCCTGGCACGTCAGTTGCTTGGAGATAGGTACTTTCACCAAGTGTCTCCCTTTGACTCTAAAGGCATCATTATTGCATCCCTTCTTCCCCTTGCCCCAGCATGGAAGCTGGAAGCTGGCTCTCACACCTCTGCCATGGCTCTTGGACATCCATCTCTCAGACAACGTCTTCTCCACCATCACAGTGAGATCCTTTCATGCCACCATGTTCCAGCTTGGCAGTATCACCACTTCCAACATACAAGGCATAAATACGAAAGGTGCAGTGTAACTGAACTCAAATTGCATAGCCATGATGTCTCCAAGTTCACTACTCTTTGTATATACCTGAAGTCAATTCCGCTGCCTTTTTTGAGGCCATTTTGGGGGGGCTACCAGAAGCAGCACTGTTGAGTAAAATATGTCAAGTGCCCAAGGAGTAAATGGGGCAAGCCTTTTCTAGCTTAAGGAACAAGATACCAAGGAAAAAGGAATGTCATACTACTTAACTGGAGACATACAAATTATGCACTTAAATGCGGAAAGTAACTAGGATCCTCCTATACAGTGAGTCATGAAGAGCAGGTCTGTCTGGAGGAAAAATCAGAGGGCTTCAGCTTCTCTGCAAATGATCTTAGCTCTTATCTAAATTACGTGCCCATTAGAAGGTGTTCATACTGTCTACAGTTTTAAAAGTGAATATATCACTTGGTGATATATATTTATCAGAAACTGGAAAATGGCACTGTAAATTTACTATCTGCTGTTTAAAGAGGCAACTTTTACACAGATGAAAAATTTCAGTGATTATATATATTATTTATTAATTATTAATTATTTAAATGGGAAATACATGATTAAAAAAAAAAAAAGCTTCTGAAATGTTCTGTAATCACTTCTCATGATTGTTTCCTCACTATGGTTAACCAAGTTTATATTCTGAGAACCTATTGAATCGAAGGCATTTTCAGCAGCTAGTTTCAGGATGTTCTACTCTTGAAGAAGTCAATTGAGGTTCCACAAATAAAACTCTGAATGTCATACTGAAAAACTTCTCACCTTTTCTTCTTTTCCTGTATTAAAACAGAAAATAATAAACATTCAAATGAGCATTTAATCCCACAATAACAACAGGATTTATTACAGTGGCAGAACGATTGCTCCAGGCAAACTGTAAATACCGACATATGTAAACAATACCTGCTGTGTTTAACTGATGCGTAGTTGTGAATTATAATTTATTCTGGAATAAAATGTGCTTTTAGCCTGGGGTCCATTGTAAAGAATAACAAAAAACTGAGATCGAGAGAGTAATACTAGAAGGAACTATGTGTCAGAGATATAAGACTCTGCAGTGATGCAATGATTTGGGAGTACTACTGTCCCTCCCCAGGATGAGGATTGCTCTCCCTTGTCTTTTGCCAAGTGTCCACCTAAGAAAGGGAAAGAAAGTAAGAAAGGGAAAAAAAAAAACACAATGATTTGACGTTGTCTCAGACACTCTTAGCTATCAGCAGACCAAGGCTAAAAGATCTAATGGGCAGATGAGAAAAGAGGGCTTTGTATATTCTGATTTAGAAAAATTCTGATTCTTTTTTTCAGAAAAATCCAGACTTTCACCTCCTCGTCTTTCAAAGAGTCTGTGAAATGGGCTTGCCTAAAGGATTTCACTACCACCTCTGTAAGGCCTTTTGCCATCTAAGGCATTCAAGATCTTCAGTCCAAAGCTATTGTCTATCTATCCACGAAGCTATCCAAAGCTATTGTCACTATCTACGAAGAACTGGTTGGTGACTTGGTACAGCACTTGGATGTGCACAAGTCGATGGAGCCAGATGGGATCCACCCAAGGGTACTGAGAGAACTGGCAGAGGAGCTGGCCAAGCCACTTACCATCATTTATCAACAGTCCTGGCTATCGGGGGAGGTCCCAGCTGACTGGCAGCTAGCAAACGTGACGCCCATCTACAAGAAGGGCCGGAGGGCAGACCCGGGAAACTATAGGCCTGTCAGTTTGACCTCAGTGCCAGGGAAGCTCATGGAGCAGATTCTCTTGAGAGTCATCACGCAGCACTTGCAGGGCAAGCAGGCGATCAGGCCCAGTCAGCGTGGGTTTATGAAAGGCAGGTCCTGCTTGACGAACCCGATCTCCTTCTATGACAAAGTGACGCGCTGGGTGGATGACGGAAAGGCTGTGGATGTGATCTACCTTGACTTCAGCAAGGCTTTTGACACTGTCTCTCACAGCATTCTCCTCAAGAAACTGGCTGCTCTTGGCTTGGACTGGCGCATGCTTCATTGGGTTAGAAACTGGCTGGATAGCCGGGCCCAAAGAGTCATGGTGAATGGAGTCAAGTTCAGTTGGAGGCCAGTCACTAGTGGCGTTCCCCAGGGCTCGGTGCTGGGGCTGGTCCACTTTAATATCTTCATCAATGATCTGGATGAGGGCATTGAGTGCACCCTCAGTAAGTTTGCAGATGACACCAAGCTAGGTGCGTGTGTCGATCTGCTTGAGGGTAGAAAGGCTCTGCAGGAGGATCTGGATAGGCTGCACCGATGGGCTGAGGTCAACTGTATGAAGTTCAACAAGGCCAAGTGCCGGGTCCTCCACCTGGAGGTCTTTAAAAGATGTTTAGGTGTGGAGCTTAGGGATATGGTTTAGTGGAGGACTGTTAGTGTTAGGTCAGAGGTTGGACTCGATGATCTTGAGGTCTCTTCCAACCTAGAAACTCTGTGAAATTCTGTGAAATCTGCAGCTTTGCTTGGACAGAGTTCCCCTTCTGACGGAGACTGTTCTCTAGAAGACAAGTAGTCTCTGACTCAGGATGAAATGAGTCTATAAATGAAGCTGTCAGTCTTTCCACTTCAACCTGGGAGAACCAGTGTCAGAAGATCATATATTAAAAAAAATAATAATAATATATATATATACAAAACAAAACAAAACAAAACAAAACAAAACAAACAAACAAAAAAAACAACAAAAAAAAACAGTGAGCCAGTCATCACCTCTTATATGTAGTTTTCTCTGTGCTCTTACAGTGCAAAGAACATTATTTGCACCATTGGGGCAATCTGTAGAAGTGGTTTACAGAGGTTTTTTTGTTCAGGAAATTGCTTCCCAGCATCAGGGACGCATTCTTAATAGAGCAGGGATTGACTTCAAGCGATAAACTATCAGGGCAAGATGATTGATGAAGTGGGGCCTTCTTAAGAATGCTTGGTTGTTTAAGTCTTGAAGAAATAATGAAGGCTAAAAAGTTAGAAGTGTTTTTTCTCAGGAGCTGAACAAATTAATTTCGGATGCATTAAAATTATTATTATTATTATTATTATTATTATTATTATTATTATTATTATTATTATTATTATTATTATTATTATTTTATACCAGTAGAAGTTTTTATGCTAGATCATTACTCCTAACATAAACTAGAAGAGCAGAAACAGATAAAAGTTGGATGTACTAAATTCTTAGAATGAATCCTATCCCACTGATGTCAAAAGGAATTTTGATAGTAAATTTTCATCCAAGTCAATATTTCATTACTACATTTTCCAGCCAAGATAGATTTTAGCTTATCAGAGCAGAGTGAAATTGAAAAGGTGAAGGTGCAAGGAGACATCTCCAATTTCTGGAATGGCTGTGCTGTAAGCAAGAACACAGATATTAAGTAATTCTAGGCATCTTAATAGTGCTATTTCCACTCTTCCTACAGGCTGGTACTGATCTGATACCAGTAGATTTTGCTAGCTGCAGTCACTATATCTCTGTTGAATCAGTCTCTGGATGCAACTGGAAGAAAATTAATACTTTTTTTTTTCTTGATCTTTCAAAGACCTTCAGAAAAGACTGTATCCCGTGTATTGTATTTGGAAAGAGAAGACTGAAAATGCTGCCTAGGATGAGCTGATGTAAGATGGGATTCACTGCAAAGGAAAAAAAAAATAAATAAAAATAAATAAATATATATATATATATATATATATATATATATATCTTTCATTCCTGTACAAGGATGAGCAGCTGTGAGACAGGACTAGTAGTAATGGGACAAGTTTTATTTCTTTCATTCCTGTACTTAAGGCAATAATGGGAAGAAATATGAAGTGTCTTGTGCATCTGCTATGCCAGCCACTGCTGGAAGGTTGCCAGCTTCAGGTCTGCAGGAACTGAATGTATGAGGCTTCACTCCTGTTGCCTTGGTATGCAACTGAAAATAACCATGTTGTACAGACTGTGCAAGATGGTGTTTGATTCTTCTATCTGCTGCCCTATGCATGTTCCCTTGGGGCTACTACTGCTGCTTCACTACAATTGTGATAACTGGAGCCTTTTCAATATTGACTGACATATTGCTGGATTTGGTGATCATTTGAAATTGTCTGCTTTACTTTTCTTCCCTCACTACTTCATTTGGGTATAAAATTAGTATTTAGCAATAAACAAATAACACTCTCCTTATTTCATTAAAAAGTTCAGAAAAATATGCAAAGGAATTTATTCAAACAGGCATCTGTAACATCACAGAAGCCACAGGGGGAAAAAAAAATCTTTCTTATTTAAGGAAAAGAGAGAGAGAGAGAAAGAGGAGAACTAAAAAAGCCACTTAATCCATGAAAACAGCAGCATAGACAGAAAGATACATAAAGTATTGAAAGTCATTTCAATACATAAATTTCAAAACAAAAGGCTGCCATTACTTTTATTTGTCGTTTTTAATTTCTCCTAGAAGGTCTGAATGGCCTCTAGAGTTCAAGAGACACCTGAAAATTTAGGAAAACATGGCAGAGAGGAGTCAAAAGATCTGTTATCACACACCCCAGGATACAAGAGTACTCCTTACCTTTCATTCTAACCACTACCAGAGGTAGCTACTTCTTTCAATACCAAAAAAAAAAAAAAAAAAAAAAAAAAAAAAAAAGTATATTATCATAGATTACAAGCTTTCACTACTAACCAAATAAAATATGCAATACAAATAAGAATGTCTTGGGGGGAGTCTGTGCTGAAAAATTACACAGTAAGCAGGCGGCAGAGCCCCAGGGTTATGCACAGTGCAGCCTGCCCAGGGTCTTTCACCACAGGACGACATCAAGGGCCCTGTGCCCCGTTAGCCACCCTGCAGTCCTCACTGCTCTAGGGACAACAACAAATAGGGTGTCCACGTCCCCTGTAATGGGCACGAAGAAGCAAAGTATCTCCAGAGAATTCTAGGGGTTGAAAGGGTCCTCAAAAGATCACTGGGTCCAACCCCCCTGCCAAAGCAAGTTCCCTACG